TGCTAAAAAATTGACTCGATCGGAACCAAGTCTTACGTATCATACAACTTCTGGAACTTTAATGAGCCCTAACTATTATGGAACTTTAATTTCAGAAAAATCAATTATATAGAGCTTTGATTATAATGTAAATTCTAACCAGTTTGACATCAACCAAATGAGCGTTCCTTTTTTCTTTAAATGTTTTTTTAACATGTTCGATTTTAACTAACAGAAGGAAGTATTCACAGATATAGTTTTATCATTACTTTCAAGATTATAAAAAAGGTTTTTTTCTAGGGAATTCAAAATCAATAATATGATTTTAATTGTCTTCAAGTTTTTATTTTATAAGAATTTCAGCTGGCTTGTTATTTTATTTTTGATTACTCAATCTGAATCCACTCTTGTAATTGAAAAAAAAAACATTGTTAAATAATCTGGCAATCTGGCAATAACTAATTTTATTCTCTGCATCTTTTCAACAATTAACTGGTGTTTCTGTACAAAAAAAAACTGATAAAATCATCTTCAACACCATCACTCTACCATCATGTTTCTTTTTTGAAGAAACTTAGTTTTGAAATATGATAAATGCCTAATTCTAACATTGACAATACTTTTTATAGAGAAATTTTTCTAGCTAAACACAACTTTATTTGAAAAATTTTTTTTGATAACCAGCAACAAAATCTTGTTTTAAAAGTGTTTTTCGAAAGAAATTTTTTGCTCAAATATTTTGTGTTAAGAATTACAACATATTAGATTATTTTTCCCCTCCTTAGCATCTGATTTGTTTTTAGAGAGCTCAAGTAACCAATCAAAATCTCAAACTATGGAAACATTATTGAAAACAAAACTGCTTGTTTCAACTGCATTTATAGGTCTTAGAACTAGTGTCGTTCTGAAAATCGAATAAACTTTAATTCGTTTTTAACTCAACACCCAATTTGTTATGTACTAACAAAGTGATATATTTCGCATAGAGCAAAGTATCAAATAGACCAAACCGAACGCGTTAGTTCAATTTGAAAGTTATTTAAAATTGATTAAATCTCCGCCCACGTGTGAGTAGCACAAAAAATAGCCCGCTTCATTTAACCCATATTAGCACAATTTGCAATTTCCGAACCTCATTTTGCATTATAATAGAAATATTGGATAAAGATTGAACAAGCGGGAATTCAAGAAAAAACCAAAATTTGGAGCACAAGTGCTTGCAAGGGAAGTGAGCTCAAGTTTTAGCAAATTAACAAATAAAATTGAACTAAATAAGGGTCGCCTGTTTTCTTGCAAGTGGCACAGTGTGTTCCGACCACATTCATGAAACTACAAAAAAAAATTCTTCAATTTACTAAGGTTTCTGAATTAGTGTTGCTTCTTGTGCGTGGTGTGATGAGAAGTTAGGCATGCTTAATCAATACCAAACACTATGCAACTGAGAATTTTCCATATAAGTAAACCTTTTCAATTAACACTTTCATTTGCGAGTTAAGTTAGAAAAAAAAAGATCTTTCGTACTAATACACTAGCTGCTACCTAGTGTAATAAAATCAATCCGTCGTTATTTTTGCTCAAAACTAGTCTAAAACTCATAAAATTCAAATCTGTTTTTCTTGACACTGGGCCATCTTTTTTAAAATTAAATTTTTTTTTCAGTGTGGTATTAAGCACGATTTAAAAAGCTTTAATATCACTTTTTACTCGCCCCATAAATACTTACCAAACTGGCTTTTTCGAGGAAAACAAAAACGAAAAATCAAAGTTACAATTGAACAAGAATTTTTTTCCATTTTCAGAGGACCGAAGACCAAGAGTGCTCGTATCAAGGTGCCGCTGAATTTCAAGGAACTGAGAAAGAAAACGAATTTTTTGGCTTTCTTGTCCAATTTAAGGAACAGATGAGAAAACGTTCTTATCTGCACGCTCAGCTAATTACTAACAGTAGTATGATTCATAAAACTTCTTTGACAAATCCAACCCAGAAGAATTATTATTCAAACACAATGAATAATTAAATTTCTCTTCAAATTTTTACAATGGAAACAATAAGTTTATGCCCAGTTTAAATTAATAAAACAAAGTCCAGGCAGTTGTCTAGGCAGTTGTGATCCTGAAAAAAGTCTACATTGTGATTTGATAGCACATGCATCATTGCAAACAAATATAGTTTTTTCTTGAAACTCTAAGACAAAGATGCAAATATCGTAAAAAGAACTTATAAGGAAAACCGACACGCTATTTTTCAGCTAAAAGCATCAGAACAAAATTTTATCGGTTCAGTCTGGGGTTGTGAGGCTTCTTGGTTATAAGATGATAGTGATGGGACGAGCTGGTCCGAAATGGAAACGAAATTCTCTTATCGACTATGCACTATTGTGGTTTTTTGAAATTTTCGACTGGTTTAAAAATAACAATTTTTCGCAGTTTAAGCTATAGTTTCGATAATAAGACTTAATTAAGAAAAAAACACAGATTAAAGTCGAGGTTAAATTGCTAGTATCAGTGCATATATGAACAATTCAGAAGTCGGAAAAATTCCTCACTACATAGTACATATTAACAGCGAAAAATAAATTTGGGGTCAAAATTTATCCTCAAATTAATTGTCTTCGAATTTTTCAAATTCTATTTGGAATGACATATCAAAAAGGTTTCTTTTTTTCTGATTTTCGATATGTGGTTTTTGAAAAAGCATCAGTTACTTAAACGAATTTTTAACACTTTTAAAAATAAAGTTTTCGAAAAATTGTTTTTTTTTGTTCGTTTAGATTTTTCTTTGGATGAACTCATTATCAAATTTAATAACTAAAGCCCATATCAAGCTTGATGAATAATCTGAATTTTTTGCAGATAAAGTTGAGTCGGTTAATTTTCATAGGGTTCAAATGCAGCTCACATGTACATTCGAAAATAAAGAAAAGGTTAAATCAATTATCTTGAAAAAAATCAAAGAAAACGAGTCGAGAAGTGAAATGAATCGAACGCTTTCTTTAACATCTCGAACCAGTTTTTCTACAATTAAAACAAAATGATAGTGCTAATTTGAATTATCCGGACAGAACGAACAAAAATTGAAATTCATATAAAAATATTATGATGCAATTTTTTTTGCAACAAAATTTTACCACAAAAAAGGGTCTGTTAGGCTTTTTTAGTTTACCAGGAAATACGTTTAAACTTCCGAATTAATCAATAGGCTAAAAATAAAAAAAATATATTACCAAAAGCCTCCTACCCAACCCAACAAATTTCCAGAATATTTTTTCCAGTCTGTAAAAGAATTTTTTTCTTTTTAGCCAAAAAAGTCATTTTTACTATATTAAACAAAATTTTTTCGCTTTTTAGCCAAAAAAATCATTTTGACTATATAAAACTAAAATCTTTCCTCAAAAATGAATTTTAAATGTTTTGCGCAAAGTTTTGAGTGTTTAACCTTCTGTACGGAACTTCTTGTGATATGATTCTCTTATTGATCAAGCTGGAAATTAACGCGCAATTCTGGATAAACAGAAAAAAGCATAAGCTAAAAAATTCTTTAAAAAATTTAGCGCTGGTTTATATAAATGCAAACAATTCAATTAAAATAAAATCAAGCAGCCTTTTATGAGGAATAAAACTTTGCAAAAAGTGAACTCGTAAAATAACACATGCATTTGCATTTGTAATGTGCGGAACTAAAAATAAAATACTCATACAGCCTTGGCCGGAAATAAGGTTTTGATTTCTTGTTTCAAATTAATTTCTGAAAAGTTTAATTGCCAACATTTCAAAAAAACGTGATCTTTATATCTCAGACTGCACCAATATAAAAAAAAATTTGTTTTGTCTTGTCATAATCTGGGCAAGCAGTGTAGCTTCAACGCTATTTTAATATAAAAAGATAGTCATGAGAGTTTAAAAAATGTCAATGAAATCAAGGAAACAAATAAACTGACCTGCTTTTTGGAGAAAAAAACGCCAGCTTTTGAACTTCTAAGTCAAAGTTATATGCCTTAACAGCTTTGACTTTAAAAAAAATCTATTACTAATAATTTGTTGATAAATTTAACTCAGTTTGAGAAAACTGGATCAATCGATTATCTTTTATTCTGCAGCCAGATCTTAAAAAAATTATACAGCCACACAATTGAAAGAGTCGATGATGAACGCAAGTAAGCAGAAAATTTTTGAATTTAAAAAAAAGATGGTGTTGGGGTCTTTGAAATCCAGAAAAATTCTGATTGATATTTTATTGATAAAACTAAACCAATTTGAGAAAACTCGTTCATTATTTTTTTTTGCTGGAAAATCTGATAATCAAATTCCTTTTGCTGGAAACAAGCAGTCCAACGTTTTGGTCACCTTTACACATTCGCACGTTCTTTTAACAAGGGAATTGAACTAAACTTCAAAAATCAAACCGCGAAAAAATTAATTTTGAATCTGAAAAAATTTAATGACTTCCTCGAAAATAAACAAACAACAATCATCGCGACCTATATAAGAGTCTGAACTACGTTCACCGCCTCTTAAAAAATCTACACGACCTATATGACTCTTTTCAGCGTTCATTGACTGCTAATCCAAAAATTTCACAACAGAATTTAAGGAGAGGGGGGCTACCAGAAAATACTTCCAAAACTTGCACTTTTTTGTCTTATCTATTTCTGTAGTATCACGCTATTTTCATTCAATTTAAGGTCAAATTCAAATCGCAATTTCGGAGTTTCTGTATTTTTTAGCGAAGAGTCTGAACTACGCTCATCGCCTCTTCAAAAATCTACACGAACTATATGACTCTTTTCAGCGTTCATTGACTGCTAATCCAAAAATTTCACAACAGAATTTAAGAAGAGGGGGCTACCAGAAAATACTTCCAAAACTTTCCCTTTTTTGTCGAATCTATTTCTGTAGTATCACGCTATTTTCATTCAATTTAAGGTCAAAACTCATATCACAATTTCGGAATTTTGCAATTTGGTCTAACAGAAAAGACACTTAACTGCGTTAAATTTCACTTAATTTTTTTACTAAAACAATTGTTGCTTAAGATATAAATTTATGCTTATAATTTATATATGCAAGTCTTCTATATCTACAAGAAAAGGATTGATTCATTTAAAACCTGGTCCAAGGATTTGAAACGACAATTAAACAACAATTTGCACCACAGTGATTATTCATTAATCGTGTATTCCAAATAACAGTTCAACTAACAGACTAATTAGGAACGGATAGGCAAAGGGGCAGTTAAAAGTAAAACAAAACTAGATAATAGACCTGCATTTAATTGTAATCTATGATGGACAACAAAAGATTAAGATTCAAATTTAGTTCTCATCTGCAGGTGGTTTTCTGCATTATTAAGCTGCTGCACGAGTGAGGCCAAGTGAGGGTTTGAATGCACAGTTTATATTGAGGGTGGTTCATTCTGTGTTTGAAGTTACTCATCGGCTGTCTGAGATTCGTGAAGACCAGGAAGGTCCGCTATGCTATCAGTTGAAAATTGATTGTTGCCCCTTAAAACATCAACTAGATCAATCCACTCGAAATTCATGATCACTTAAAAAGAAGAAAAGTTAGATACATTTAAACTTAATTTCAAGGTTAGTTTATTGAAATAACAGGAGTGAAGGTCAAAACAATAACAGGATGCATTTGAACGCCAAAAAAGATTTTTAAATTTCATAATACGTCTCGAATGTTCGCGTGCGTAGAACCTTAACTAAGCTCTTACATCCGATGCTAGTATTATCAGACGGCGGCTGGAGTGCTTCGCCTGTGGACAACATTTGTCATTCAACCGTGCCCTTCTGGTTGGGGTAGAAGCTGCCGGCAAAGTCACACTTCTTGTTAAGCACTCTGTATTGGGCCACTTGGTCCACACCGTAGTAATGTACAAATATTGCGACCACCACAAACACGTGGAAAATCTGATGACTGTGACCCTAAACATGTATCCGGATTAAAAATAACTCGATTATTTTTAATCGAAAACGTTATTAATCGAAAACGTTATTTTCGATTAAATTAAAACATGCTTTCGAAAACGCATTTTTCTCATAAAATCCTTCCGAAACAGAAATAAACTTAGAAAAGAGTAATGATTTTTTTATCTTTCATGATTATCGCGCAGAATAACCTCGGATGCAATAAGGCCACGCATTTGCAAACAAACGACATCACATTAGCGGGTGAGGGATATTTTACCAAACTGTCACTCATCAAAAACTAATGGATCGAAAATACTGCAATTTTCTGACACATCACTGGCAATAATTGTAGCCTATGAAAGTTATTGGGTTGAAATCTGCTTTTTTATCTACAATACAAGTACTCTCTCCTTTGGCAACTTATAACAGGCCATCGGCGTAATGGTGACCATTGTAGTCATATTCACTCCATTATTTGGGGTGCGTCCGGCATGCTCTTGCAGAGTCTACGGAACGTTACGGTCTCTGTCGGCCGGAACAAGAGGTTTATTGGGGTAGGAGAAAATGGATTTTGGAGACAGTTAAAAAGATGCAACGCAGTTTAAGTGCTGGATATTGGAAGCAGTTAGAGTGGACGTAGTGTTAAGGTAGGGAATGTAGCCGGAAAAAATTTCAGCAAGGGTGCGTCTTTTTGAGCGGGGGAGTCACAGTTCTGTGATATAGACGTTTTGCGATCTTAGTGGAAGATCTTTTGACGGGAGAGGGGCTTAGTCAATGGCTTTTTAAACTCAGTAAATGAGAATGTTCTTTAGAAGCGTTTTAAATTTCTGATTTACAAAACAGCTAAGCTGGCTAAAATCGTTTATAGAGTTGGACTCGTTTGCCTCAATTAACAACAGTTGGGGTTGTATGTAACTATCTATAATGTATAATGTTTAGGCGTAAACTGCAGGGGGTGGGGCAGCTGGTGAGTTTCGTAGAAAAACAATGGCAAGTAAATGTTGAGAAATGAGGGGGAGGGCTATTAACTTGCGGATAGGTGTTTGTGATACGATGATTTTCGTTCATTTGTCTATTAGGGGTGTTAGATACTGGGAGGGGTAGGAGAGGGTTATTTGTACATTTGGAGCAGTAGAAGTTCCGATAGTGTTCTTTTACGTTTGCGAGTCCACTGCATTTAAGGTGGCTTCATCCGCACGATCTTGTGTGCGTGCAATTTATGAGTTACACGGGGACATGTATTGGGGCCAGGGTTGGTATTGATGCCGGCACGTAAAATAAGATGAGAATGAACAGACGAAGTAGCACAGCTGACTTTCGATCGAACATGCTGTGCGCGCTCCCACTACGTGACCACAATAATGATCACTCGAATCGGTGACGTGATAGAATCTCACCAAATTAGTTCAACTTGTGTACTTGCATCGTGTTGAAATTAGTATTACTAGTACTAACCCACAGATCAAACTTTCCGGGAAAGAATCGTTCTGGAATTCTGAGAGCGTATAGACATGCACCAGTGATGTAGAGCACGGCCATGAGGATGATCCAGCCGAAGGAGGCCTCGTAGAAGCTCCTCTCCACTCCATACATGGCGATGAAATGGACGGCCGGAACCAGAGCACTCAGACCCAGGAAGAGGTACAAGCCTGCATTAAAAACATCAAACTATTGCTTTTGTCACTATTGGAGTAGATTATGACTGACCAAAACAGCAATCAAGAAACTCTTCTTAATAACATTAAAAACTGTATAAATACTAGTATTGGCTCAATTGTAACATCTTCTGCACAAACGACTGAAATTCTAATTCACACAATTTTCAATCGTTTGATTTCGACCCATCCAACATAGAATCAGTATACATTATTGCTTTATACAATGGTTGTCACAACTCATTAATATCGCAATAAATTATATCGAAGCTTTCCAACTTCTTTTTGTTTAAATCATCTGTGGACCCTTCAAGTATCGATCCATAAAGTAATACATCTATCGCTATAGCCAGGTTGTGTGACATGCCTGCTCTGAGTGGTCTGAATTTGGGTGCTGCGAATCTGTCCCAGAGGGAGATGATGATGCAGATGATGCCGAGGATGTTGATGCTGCTGATGTACACCAACCGGGGAATGTCATTGCAGTAGAAGCCGTAGTAGAGCCACGGCACAAAAGAGCCCACAATCAACACAGCTATTCCCACGTAATCCAGCCTAGAGCAACAAAAAACAATGACAGTTTAAAACATTTCCAAAATATCTAGTATATTTATTTATGGAATTAGAAATTGAAGATGGAATTTAATCAGCTTCCTTCGTGGAAAAATGCCGTGCATGCACTAATATCCAGGGATTGAAAAAATACATATATTTTTTGGTGTTTACAAAGATAGGGCGAAAATTCTTAACATGTGACAATTTGTAACAGCCGACATATCGTAACAAGCTACAATTCGTAAGCATAGCCATTCGAAGATTGGAAAAGAGTAATGAACGCAAGTAAACAAAAAAAAACAGACTTTCTTGAAAAATCAAATTTCACAGAAAAAAATAGATGCCCTTTAAACTCTTTGAATTTCTAGAACGATTTATGATTGCCTTTGTTTTTGATAACATTAACCCACCATGAGAAAACTGGATCAATAGGTAAAGTTTCTATTCCGCTGAGAAATCTTATAAATAAATTCCACTTTTTGCGCCATGTCCACGTTCGTATTTGGAGAGTGCCATTTACGTCCTTTTCAGCAGATGAATTTCAATTGAACTCAAAAAGTGCATCATACCTACGTGCATCAATACTTTAAGACTTTTGCTGAAAAAAAAACAAACAAAAAAATCAACAAGACCTATATAAGAGTCTTCACTACGTTCATTACTCTTAAAAAGACAATGGCAAGTAGCAAACACCTGCTCCGCGGCGATTACACGTAAATCAATGGTTGCCGTTTAATCTAGTGTTACAAATTGTTGTTGAATGTTACGAATTGTTACGAATTACATTAACAATTTAGGATCAATCGAACAATCCCCCTACCAACCCATGTATTAAAATTGAAAAAAACGAGTTTTATTATCCTTAAATTGAATTGGGGAGAAATTAGAAATTTTACGCTTGATCCGCACGCCCTTTGTATAATGATGCTGTACAATTGTGATAAATTCCTGTCTGTAAGGGCACAACAACCATAACCATACTCACTTGCTGAAGAGTAGTCTGTACTCGTTGGAGTGACAGTGTAGAGTGTGGAACAGCCATGAGAAAGTTAGACAGAGGAGAGCACAGGTGAAGAAGGTCAGCATCACTGCAATGTCTGTCCACATGTAGTGGCTCCTAGTGAACTCTCGCACCAGGAAGTACACGGACAGCATCACCACCATTATGCTGCCTAAATGCAACAACAAATACATTTATTGTACTAACAATCAAATGAATATCTTCAACACAGAGGCGAAACGGAGCTTCGCACCACTTGCGATTCTACACAGACATAGCATTGCAACCCAGCAGACAGAAAATGAAACAAACATTTCGAGAAAAAAAAAACAACTACAAAAATTTCAGAAATTTGTCCGGAATGATGTCCAACTTGACGAGCACACGTCCAGAAACACATTAATTAGCGCTTAAAAAGTATTCAGACAATAATTGAGCGGCAGCATAGCCGACAAAAGTTGCTAAGACTCCCGTTGAGAAAAATTATGTTCAATTGAAAAACTTTTGAAAGTTCTGAAAATCTTAATTTTTGGGCTCCCCCCTCCGGAAATACATGAAGCAGTAAAACTATTTTTTCTTTGAAACAACACTAAATTAGGTCACTTATTCGATAAGATAAGCCGAAACAATTGAGGCCAAACAAAGTTTGGAAGCGAAAAAAAACAAACAATTACAAACTTAGTGAAGTTACAAATTACAGTAAATCTTTCATAACTCTTTCAATTACAAAAAAAAATACTTACAGCACAGCAAAAACCCGTAACAAGGCAACTAAGCCGACTAAACATAAGCAGACACACAATATGACGATAATTTTTGGAACGGAAAATTTCCTTTTCGAAAAAAAAACAGGTTCTGGTCAGATTGGAACACAGGATCTTCACCACCTCAGGCGAATATTTTTTCTCAAAAACTTGTGTGCCGGAAATACTACAAAAGTTTAAATTTGATTTGAGCAAGCTATTAAATAACTAACTATTTTGTAAAGCAAGAAAATTCCGTGATGAGGCAACTAAGCAGAAAAAACATAATCAGACACAAACAATAAGCCAAAAAATTGATTGGAACAGAATACTTGTCTTTTAAAAACACAGACAGGCCGACCTTTGCTGTCCCAGGCGTAGTCGTTGCCTCTAGGCCAAGTTTGTCGGAGAAGCCAAGAATTTGATTCCATTATCAATATCAAGAATACAGATATAACTTAAAAATATTTAAAAAACTACTTAACAACCCGCATGACCATTAAGAACACAAGGTGTTATCAAAAAACACTGCCAAATTTTGGCTAAAAATTAACACCAAAACCAAATAACAAAAATGAAAAACAATTGCGACAGAAAAGAATTTCTAGAGAGCATATAAAATCATGAAATGAAATTACTCCCTATAGAACTGTTTGAATGAACTTAATTACATCGATATTATCAATTATGAACGTAATACGTAACAGCAAGAGAGCTGAATCACAACAAAAAAGATTTTAAAAAAAAGACGCCCGAAGGAAAAAACAATAACGTACAAACAAACAAAACAAAAAATTTTCAAAAAACGTTCGGTCAGAAATCACAACAATCTTAATTCTTGTGAATTACTCGCCATATACCTTCGTAGACAGAAGAGTCAAGTCAAAGTTAAAACCAAAGACTTTTCGGAAATGTACGTTTTTTAAAATATTTGTAGTTATTAAAATAATACGCTAAGCTATCATCTTGAAGGGATTTAAAATCAAACTGCCTCCACCTAGTCAAGTTGGTAAGATGCTTGAAAGCAATTGAACATACTTATGGGAGAAAAAAAATCAGAATATCAGCATCAAAACAACTGAAAAGTAAAACAACTTTTTTTCAAAACAATTTTAAAATTTCAAGACAGAAAAAATTTCGCGTGTTAAAACAAAAAACCCATTTACTATATTAACGCTCTTCTAAATTGAATTTAACATGTTTTTAAAAACTATTACAAATGTAACAAAAATAAAACATCCGGCGAACCAGCCGACAAAATTTGGCACGGAATATAATTAAATCTGAAAATGTTTTCGGCTTTTGAACCAGAACTACTTGAAAAAACGCAAACTTGACTAGACGTTAAGATCCTCTGGAAAAGCATGTACTATAGAAGTGAGGATTTTCTAGAGGTGGAGATCCTCCAGAAGTTGAGATCTTGTGAACAAAGTTGTTGACGGAAAAGTCTAGTACCCGATTGCAATACCCTTGCTTATCGCAAGGGTAAATATTTGTATAAGAAATAAACAAACTTTATACGAAAAATCTAAAACGGATTTTATTCGAGACTAGCAAAATATAGAAACCAATCTTAGTCTCATTTATTGGTTCGAAACACTTCGCAAACGTGGGCTCGGTTTTTTCCGGTTCGGCTTTGCAGGTTCAAAAACAAATCAGGAAAATTTCATTCTCGAAAAAAAACTGGTCTGAATACCATTGCTATTTTCTCTCAAACTTAGCAAAGAGGGGAGATCCTTGATTCAATGGACGCCATTCACAGAATAAATTCCCAGTTATATAACAAATACAGGGTTCATCAATGCGGGCCTAACTGATGTTTTTTTTTCAACTTATTCGAATAGTTTTCAGAGTCAATGAAGTTTACGAGGTGAGCTTCGGATAGGTTTCACAAATTTAAAAAAAAAGTGTTAATAAACGTACATTTTTGCTTTCCTAATTGAAAAGCGTAGGTTGTCTTCCTTTTAACAAATGAATTCGAGTTAAACTTTGACAGAAATCAAAAGTCAAGCCGCGAAAAAAATCAAATAAAGCGTGAACAAATTGTAAGACTTCATGAAAAAAAAACCCCAAATGGTGTCTTCATATTTCACTCTGGCAAATAGCACGGCACGGATCAGGCCTAGAATCATCGAACTTGCGCCTCAGAGGCGGAGATCTCAGGCAGTTGTACTTTTACCATTGAAGAGCGTAACTTGACAACCATTTAGCAAATAAGTTTAAATGAATTTATTTTTAAGTGAATTTAAAATAAATCAAACTCGAACCGCTAAAAAGAGGGAAAAAACCACTGCGCTAAACAAGTTAAAATTCGCAAATGTTATTTGCAGCTGAACAAGGAATTGTTTCGACTGACCAATGAGATGTGTCCATATGTTTCCAGTCTCTGTGTGCACTTTAAACACACTCTTGAAGCACGTGCACACACTCGGAATGGGGGGTCTGTGGCCCTTGTGGAGGAAGTCATTGTCCCTCAGCCAGTCTGGAAGGTGCTGGTACGCTAACAACTGAAACAACACGAGAACAACCGAGTTTTAACGTTGAGAAATCTGGCTAGAATTACATATCATTTATCGAGAATTAAGAGAAGCTGAGCATTGAATAGATTGTCTATTGATACTCGGGAGCGTGAGCTTAAGCTTTTAAAACAATGAAAAGAACGTAAAAGTTCAAAATCTCTATAATTTGATTCTCACGAACTCAAACTCATGACGTATGACAAACTTGAACGCTGATTCCGTAATAAAGAAAAACCAAGCTGTTAGAACCGCTAAACCATTAGGCCCAATTTCATTTCAAATCGTTTATCGAGTTACCAACAACTAGACTGCTAGCCTTTTGATCGGCAGGGGTCGAATCCCTGAAGGGGGAATATTCGTCCGCACCCCCCTAAATCCGCTACTGCTGTTAGGTCTCGTTGGAACCAGCCGCATTTTCTGCTTCAAAAGTGTTGATTGATTACGTATTGGAAAACCTCCAGGTAAAAATAATCCAGCGTGTTTTCTCTTCTTTGCGGATATGAAATTTGAAAACAAATGCGTGTTGTTACCTTCCATTCCTTGTACTTGTTGGAGACGTCTCTGCCCGCCTGTATCATTCTCAGCTTCATCGCCTCCGCAGTCTGCATCATGCGCTCCTTGCTCTCCTCCATTGTCGTCATCCCATCCGGGAGAGACATGTGACGGATCTAAACATGTCAACCATCGTAGAATATGATATTCATAAAAACACCATTTATTGAACCAAAACATAGAAATTTGTTCTTCCTTTCAAAAAAGTACTAATTTCGATAGATGAAAATCTTTTCTTTAAATAACCTGTATAATAATAATAATAATAATAATAATAATAATAATAATAATAATAATAATAATAATAATGATAATAATAATAATCATAATAATGATAATAATAATAATCATAATAATAATAATAATAATCATAATAATAGTAATAATAATAGTAATAATAATATTAATAATAATCATAATTATAATAAAAATAATAATAATAATAATGATAAAATAATAATAATAATAATCATAATAATAAAAATCATAATAATAATCATAATAATTATAATAATCATAATAATAATAATAATAATAATCATAAGAGTCATAATAATAATCATAATAAAAATAATAATAATAATAATAATAATAATAGTAATAATAATAATAATAACAAAAAAAACAATCGTAATACAAACAAGGACAGCCGGTTACTGTGCAAGTAGCACTGAATGTTCCGATCTCAGTCTTAAAAATACAAAAACATTTTTTTTTCAAATTAGTGTCGTTCTTTTCCGCAAGGTGTGATAAAAAAATCTTTAGGATTATTTGACAGTCATAGTAAAAAAGAACCATTCGGAAAACAATTTTTGAAAAAAAATGTGTATAAAAACGAAAAATAAAAATAAAATGTAAAACAAAGTTTAAACAAAATTTGAATAAAATTTTCAAAAATTTTTGCAAAAACCTTTGGAATTTTTAACCTTGTTTACAAAATGGCGCTTAAAAACCTCCAAAAACTACTTATATTTGAGTAAAATCATGTTTTCACGGCTTAAATTAAGCTCAAATAAGCTATTGTAAGACTACACGCACACACCATATTAGTTCGAAACGAGACAAAAAAAATCAAAAATTTCAAACCGATTTTTCTCGACAGTGAAAATTTTTTTGAAATTTTTAAGGTAGTTTGAAACACGATTGAATGGGCTTTAATATGATAGATCACTCGACTCGTTCCGATAAATTTTTGTGGCACCTGATTTTTTGCGGAAAACAAAAAGAAAAAACTAAAACACACCCGAATACAAAGTTCCTCCCCATTTTTCAAATGGTCGGAACAATAGTGATAAAAATAATAATATTGATAATAATAATCATAATATTAATACAGAGGCAAAGCCGAACTTCGCACAACTTGCGATACATTAAGAAACAGCAGCGAAATGGAAAAAAAAAAACTCATAAAAATTTCAAAAACTTAGAAAAAACTTACTATCAAAAAGAATAAAACTTAACAAGCGGTAAAAAGGCTCTGACGATACGTGATCAGATGCCCTTGAAGCCGAAATTTTTTTAAAAGGCGCTAAACTAATAAGAATTGTTGAAACCCCAGCTTTGAACTATAATTTAAGCATATGTGCAATCCAGAGAGGATCTTAAAAATTATTATGTTAGCCTTGGAACGACTCAAATTAGGCCATCAAGCCGATAACATATAAGCCAAAACAATTTGGTTCGAATAAACTTTTTTAATCGAAAAAAATATACGAAGTCAAAGTGAGCAAAACTACGACCAGCAAAATCAAATCAAAACACTGAAAGCAATAACAACGAAAATTGCGTACAGCAAAAAAAAATTCTACGATCTGGCAACAAAGCCGAAAAACCATAAGCAGACAAATAATAAGCCGACGTTTTTTGAAACGGAATATTTCCCGTTTAAACAAACAGGTCCTGTCAGATTTGAACCCATGACCTTTGCCGTCCCAGGCCTAGTCGTTACCTCAAGACTGAGCGTGCCGGGAACAAAAAGATATTTGAATTTATTCTGAACTGAACCTAAAATTACCATTTCTAATTTTGACCATTCTGTGAACAAATTTATTTACGGGAAAACGTCTAGTACCCGATTGCAATACTCTTCTTCAGGGGCGGATCTAGGATTTTCTCGAGGGGGGGGGGGGCGGAATTTAAAAAAAATTCGAAAATTGTGACGACCTTTTTTTAGCGCTCCCCCTCAAAGTTAGTATATATTGGCGCCAAAGGCGCCTTTAGAAAAATTTTAGGGTCGGTCGGCGAAAAATGGATTTCTGAAAAAGTATCAAAGGGGGGACCCTTTGGGTCGGCAGGGGTTCGAATCCCTGAGGGGAGGGGGCGTCCGCCCCCCCCCCCCGCCGCTAAATCCACCCCTGCTCTTCTTATACCAAGGGTAACAAGGGTAATAATAATGGTAAAAAAAAAATCATAAAAAATTGTTTCCAGTATAGGTCCACACTTATCCACATTCATATGGAAAAAAATCTCTTTTTTTTGCCCTCGACCCTATTTCGCCTTCTCTGAAAGCAGCTCACTAGAAAAACAATTTTGCGACGATAAATTTTGCAAAGCTAATTTTCTTTTTGAAAAAATTGTCCAGGAACTAAAATTTAGTTTTCTAACCTCGGGGAAACACTTCCAGCCCGAGTTGATATTATCCGTGGAATTATCATACTTCAAATCAGTCCCGATACTCTGAGCCCGCCTGTGACTTGACGAGCCTTGAGCAGCCGAGGACCTCGAGGGAAAATGGAACCATGAAGCCGAGAACGTCTTGAAAGAGTGCGCCCCCGTATCTCCGGATGAAGTTCCCGGTCTTTCATCGGTCGTTGAAAAGTCAGTTGTCGCATCTGTGATACCGACTTTCGGTACACTTTTTGAAGGACTTTCACAGTTAGCTTCAACCTCAGCTGTAGTTGTGAAAGTAGCGCCGTAATTAGTTTGATCATTTATGGCATTTAGAGGGTCATTAGGCTCCGAAGTAGTCGTAGAGGTTGGTTCGACGTTCAAGCACGCGGGCAGCAGTGGTGTGAAGTTGTCGGCAACGGAGTCCGGTTGGCATCGATTTGGCACGTTATCTCCGGAGCTCAGCGATCGCATAAGTTTGACTTTCTTGGCTCTAATCGTTGGTGGCGAGCGCGATATGTGTGCTTTGTCACTGGTTTCATCCATAACGCTCTGAAATCTACAGTGCATGAAGAAAAACATGAAACAATTAGAAACAAAACGACCGTGTTTTATTCCACCACTTACCATCAATCATGAACAAAACACAAATAATTGGTCCAAAACCTCTTTCTACACAACACATCAAATTCGTTATGCAACATATATTGTATTATTCAAGAACTGATCGATAGCAATAAGGCCTCTTTATTATAATAGACAGTTTTGTTTCAGATTCAGTCACACGTCAATTTTCAATCTTGACTTGTAGTTAGTTGAATCCACTGTTGAAGAGCAGTGCATACAGTTTCAGGCAGTTTCTCAGAATCTCCCAAAATGATGTAATGCTTGAATGGAAACACATCAAGGTAGCTTCGCATGACCAAAGCCGGTGCCTCATTCGAAGTTGAAGTCGGCTTTGAAAAGACTGGCAGTTTGATATCTGCTATGGAATTTTCTGCAGTGTCCAATATAATGAAAACGGTCCAGATCCCTGAATTGAGACTGGCCTCGACAGCTCTGGTAACTTTTTCAGTTCCTAGAACAATCAGCGTCAAAAGCATAGGAATTCAAGGATAGAACAATTGGCTCAAACAGAGCACCTCGTATGAACATCAATCTAAATAGTTTTTTGCTTTTTGCGTTAAAAAATTCAGCTTTCAAGAAGTGATTGTAGTATTCATCATAATAATGCTTTTGACTAATAGGTGAAATTTTTCTTTTTCTTTGGCTGTCCTACTATTTTAGAAACCCTTTCCTTTGCTATTTAACAAATTCATTTCGACCGATAAAACGCTTTTTCTAAAGCGACTTGAGTATTAACTTAAAAACTGATCCTTGGCCGTGAAAAGTGCATAAAACGTTGAAATGATTCAATGTGAGAAACTAGTTTTTGGTGACTTGATTTTAAACTCTATGGGAACCTTAAACATACCTTCAACAAAAAGCCCTCTTCCGTCTGAAACAATGATCTGCAACTGATCCTGCACAGGTTGACTAGAAGCAGCCATCCGATTCTCAACCATATATTCTGTCGTTAACTTCATCAACTCTGCTATTTTCGTTTTCGGCTGTTTGAACGCAAACTTTCGCACTACATTCGCTCCTGAGTTTAATGTGAATGGTTGATTGAACTGATGGATTAGTTCGCAAGTTTCGCCGAACTTCGTGACTGCAACTTGTCCGACTTCAACTAAAGCAAGGGCTGTTGTCAAAGTTGCAATGGCTTCGAAGGCTACGCTTCTTGTTCTTCCGTCGTTCATACTACTCGAATCGTCAATGGCAATCATAACCTGGTAATTTCTTTTCTGAGGCTTCGTCCGTCTCAGCCATATTTTATCCTTACGATACCCACTTGCTATGTATGGAATTAATTTCTTCATATTCAGGCGTTTACCTGATCTGTAATCACCTTTTAGCCTTCCACTTTGTAAAGGTTCCAATATGATACGAATCTGTTCCGACAGTTGTCGTGAAAGATTAGACGTTAAAGCTGAGTATTTACTCCACAGCATCGTCGCTTCGTGGTCCGATAAATGATTGACAACTTCTGACCAATCAGCACAAATGCTTTCTAAGGATAACTTAAGTGACTCATAATCTTTCCTCGGATGTTGAGACGTTATTTCAGAGACAACTGAGCTCTCAAACTTTTCGGGACCTGCAGCATCGTCCAATTCAGCATCGTCTTCAGGACTATTGTCTTCAGTTTCAGTTGAGTCTTTCAGAAGAGATTTCTTCTCATTTGCGTTAGGCTGGGCGAACGTTGTATCAATTGACATTTCGTTTTTATTCACATCTTCTTCATGTGGTTCAAGAAATTCATCCACCTTCTCTTCAATTTTATCATCCATGCTTTCAATTTGTTCTATTTCAGTGTCTTCTGTAGCAAAGAAATTATCAGCCGATTCTTTTGCGTCGTCAAACATTTGAACATCGTGTTTTTGATTGTCAGTCGTATGTTGATACGCTAAATCTTCTAGTTTTTCTTTCGGCTTATTTTGGTTCGTCGGCATTTCCGTCAAATCCGCATCCTCAATTTTACCTTTCTTTTGAACTGGTTCTTCATCCTTACTTCCCGTTTGAAACTGGTCGGTTGTCAAATTTCGTTTTCCGCCGCTGCTTTCATTTCCGTACGTCAATACGCTTTCGGATTTTGAACTGTTTTCTGCATTTTTGTCGTTTTCCTCATTTTCATCTTGGCGAGCTGCTGATGATTGCACTGCTGAATCTTGTTGCTCATCTTGTGTTTTGTCGTCAACGGCACTAGCGGTTCCAACGTGACTGTTCTCTTGAGGTTCCACTACATCGTTTGGAAGCGGCTCCAATTCGGTTCCGACCGGGTCTTCTTTCTGGGCTTCCTCTGGATTTTCTGCCTCTTCATCAAGTACACTAGAGTCTTTAAGACCCTGTTCGGAATTTTCATCTTCTTTTTCAGCATCATCTTCATCACATTTATCGCCATCTTTTTTCGTTGTTTCTTCAGTTTCATCATCATTTTCCATTTCATCCTGGGTTTCATCTTTTGACTCAATTTCTTTTTCGGCACTTTCTTCATCTTCATCTACATTAATCTCATTGTTCTCATCTTCTCCGCCGTCTAATTTGACGTCGTCCATACATGCAATATCCTCATCTTTTTCGTCGTTCTCTTCTGTTTCAGCAGCATCATCGCCAGCTTCAACATCTTTCCCTTGGTCCCTTTGTTCATTTTCGTCCTCGCCATTCCCTTCATCTGCCCTCATTTGGGCTTCATTTTCATCTACCGGTTCAGTTTTATCGTCGGCTGATTGATTTTTCTGATCATCTTCCGGAGGTTCATCGTTGAATTTCTCCTTATTGTCAACCTTTCCATCCTTTTTCAAATCATTTTCCAATTTCTTCCCATCATTTTCTTCTTTCTCATTATTTTCATCATCTTCGTCATCGTCATTCCAAAATTCGTCGTTTATCTCCTCATTTGAGTTTTCATCATTCTGTTTGTCATCTTGCCCGAATTTGTCTTCGACAGAATCCATGTTATCATTATCTTCTTCTGAATCATCTTCATTTTCGTCTAATTTCACATCTTCCAAATCTGCCATAAAATCTTCACTCATTTCAATTGGCGTATTCTCGCTTCCCTCGTCATTATTTTTATTTTCCTCTTTCTTATCGCCATTCTCATCTTTACTTTTACCGTCTTTTTGCTCTTGTTCCATTTTTAATTGGTCTTCGCTTTCGATTTGATCACTGACATCTTTGACTCCCTCGCCTTCATCAATTCCACATTCTTCGAACTTTCCTTTATCTTTTGATTCACCACTTTGCAAAGCTTCTTTGAACTCTTTAGGTACGCAAAAGCCTTTCAGAATCAATTCCAAGAAGATCTTGTTGCATTTTTTGATCAAAATCACCAGCGATTTGAAAGTATCTCCCACACTTTCTAGTGTTATTTTAAGCGTTGCGTCGAGATATAAAACGGAATTAGAAAGTAACGCAAGTTGATCTTTTTCTTCTTTCAATCTCAATACAAGATTCTTGTCATCAAAAATGGATTTGTTCAAAAATCCTTTCAATTGGTAGAAATCTTTTTCTACAGAACTCAACTTCAGCTGACTTGATATTTCATCTAAGAAGGATTTTAAAACCCTAAATGAAGCGGGTTTCTCGCATTGCTCATTTAAGTCTAGGGGTGCAATTTCATGTAACTTCTGAGACAGGTTAATCACTTTGACACATATTCGCTTCACTTTTGAAGACAGTTCTTCGCTGATATTTGATAAAACCTCTTTCTGAGAATTCGTAAGTTCAATGTTAAAATTTTCAATATTCTGCAAGCAAGTATTCGATTTTTGCACTAATGAAAGGATGAAAGGGTTGGATTTCTCAGGACAATCGCTTAGTTGAGTGTTCAAGGTACACAAAGCTCTTTCAGCCCGGTTGAATGTGGCTTGAATAGCATCACTTCGTATCAACGACTCAGATTTAGTCATTGTAATCATTTCATTCCAACATGCACTGTTTATCATATCATCAATTGTATGTTTTGTTTTGTTCACAGAGTCAAAACTGGTTCCACATTTTTCAAGGAATTTGGTAACGTCTTCACGGCACATTTGGTCGAGTATTAGTGAAACTTTAGTTGATTCGTCGAGAAGGTTGCATACATCTTGAACGACTTCATTAACTAAATTGTTTGCAGGATGAACAAAATGTTGAACTGCAGAAAGTTCACCCAATGAAAAAGGTTTCAAAAGGTCTCCGAATTTTGATACGACTTCGCAAACTTTCAGACTAGAGTTAACAGAACTCCAAAGCTCGCATAATTGGTTATATGAATCTTTTACAAATCCGGAACAAATTTGGAACATTCGTGGATCAATCTCTGATTTTTGCGAAAGAGTCATATGAGAAAACGCTGCGTATTGATGAGCTATGAACATCGAAGTATCTTTACAAGATGACAAACTTTTTAGGTCCTCGGAAGAAATGCTTGCAGGAACGCTTCGCATTATATCTGACAACTCTTCACTTGAATTAAGAGACCTTTTGAAAGATAATCCTTGATCACTCAAATAGTCGGCCAAAGACTTGAATAAGTTTTTTCGTTTCTGCATTTGAAACTTGGCAGTTGACATCATCGCTTTCTTTTCATCGTCGTTTTTGGCATTTGATAGTGTTTGTTCTAACTCTTGGCACTCCTTGTGGCATTCTTTAAGGTGATCATCAATTTCATTGACGTCTTCTTTAAGTCGATTGGTCATTTCATTGAAGAAAACTTTCTTTGTTTGAAATATTTTCAGTTTCTTTTGAAATTTCTTAGAAGCTTTAAAGACTAACTCGAATTGCGTTGATTTGAGTTGAACTTCTGAAAAAACGACTGAATGCACCTTCTTTTTAGAAGCATTTTCTACTGAAGTTTCTTCGTTTTCGTTTTTCAAAATCAGATGGTCGGCTACGGGTTGCTTTAAAATTTCATCGTAGTTGCTCAAAACTTTCTTAATTTTTATCTTGCACCGTATTACGTTTTCCTTCAATGCAAATAAATTAAACGAACCCCAGCTTTTTATCTTCAAAAACGAGTCCAAATCATGTTTCAGCAAATTCACTTGAGCTTCGATTGACTTTTCCATTCTTGCCAATGCCCCTTTATGATAGTCGACGACATTGCTCACGATTGACGCAATTTCAGTTTTCCCGAAAAAGTTGCAATAATTTTTCCAACTTGCCAGCATGTCCAAACGTGCTTCAAACTCGCCAATTGGAGACGTATGAAGAAACTTGAAAAGCGCTTCAATGAACTTTTCCATGTTATTTTTGCCGTTCATGGTTTGTACAAATAAAGCAAACAAGTTGAACCAGAACTTAGACACGGATCTGTACACTTTTTGTTTATGATACATCATACTCTGTTTCCAAAATTTGAGCTCCATTTGACGCCAATGCATGTCTAGATTTTTCAAGGGTTCCAGCTCATTTTGAAGTGAAACGTGCCTTGCTGCGACTACTTGCCACGAGTTCGCTATGGCCAATAGGGCTTCTAAAGATGCCGCAAAATAAACTACCGTCTGAGAAACAGGCACCGAATACAAAATTCTGTCAATCGATTTGATTAAGCTGCACAAATTGGGTTCTTCGGGCCATTCTTGCAACAAAAATTCAACTCGGCTTTTCAAGTCTTTCAACAAAGGAGCACATTTTGATGTTTCAGAAATATTCTGATCCGTGTAAATATTGTAAAGTTTAGAGTCTTGAACTTGTTCGCCTCTGTAAAACTTGTCATGAAATCTGATCACTTGCAACATTAAGTTTTCAAGCCAACTTTCAGTTTGACTCAAACTGTAAACTTCCGATTTGGTCAAGTTTGAGAATTTTTCAATCAAATCTGTCGATATTTCAGACGGTTTTGTACATTTTTGATTAGCTGTCAAGCATTGCAACAATTCATTGTGACTTTTCCAAACTTCGTAGTAATTTTTCTCATGGAAACTTCCTTGTTCTTCAATTGGTTGTCTTTTCGAAATTTCGCTGAGGGGTGAGTCAGCTTCTAAGATTTCTGGCTCATCACAAATAATACTTTCGGCTAACAGCTCTTTCTTCTCTTTGTACACATAGCCACTCGCTTTTGTTTCTTCTTCTTCGAGAACTTTCTGCTCATGATTGCGCCATAGTCTCCACAATTTCGAAAATATCTTAGAAACAAACACTTTCAGCTGCCTCGACGATACAGAACCTGTAGATTGCCAATAACATGGAAAGGATTGAATAATCAAAATCAATTTCTGAAAACTGTCTTCGGCGTTTTCAGTTTCCGCCATGAAAATATCGATCCAGTTACTATTTATAGACAATTCCGGGAAAAGTTTAGCATTTCTTGATTCAGTTAAGCTCGAGTTCCACTCCATACGCTCAATTGACAGCAGCATTAAACATAAACCAGTCACTGGCAGGTAGAAAACGTCCTTGAAATCAGGGAAGAGCTCAAAAAGATGTTTTATGAATGAGAAAATCGAGTTTCTAAGCGCAATCACTTCACCATTGAGGGTCCCAGGAACATCCCTTTGGGTTCCGACTTCATTCGAGCTCTGCAAAATTGACTTGTCGAAATCCATTAACATATTTACTAATGACCTATATCTTTCGGTATCCGGTTCCCTCGGAAATGACCTCGAGTGCAGATCTTTCGTTCTGCTTTGAACTTTTAGTTGAAATTCTTCAAGAAGAATCAATTTTGGATGCCTAGAAACGTACGTTGACGAGTCTTCAATTTGTAGGAGCTGATTATAGAGCATGATTTTTAGTTTTTGGTACCTCGAAATCGATTCTACGTACGCATTGTTGCAATCAATTTTGATCATAGCTTCTTCGGCGGGGTCAAAACTACCCATAATTTCTAGACTTCTTTCAAACACTCGGCGTCCAATTGCCGGTAAGCTTTCTACTGTGACTGCATTTCCACCAAATTGAAAACTCAATTTCTTTGAAATATCCTGAACAATATCATTTACGCGTTGATCTGACGATGAACAGGTGCGAATCAAAAAGTTCGAACTTTGCCACAACATGCAGAAAAATTGATTGACATCGTCCAAAATCGACCTATGATTCTCAAGCGTCGGTTCTGGAAACATCTCCCTTCGCTTCAAAGTTTCAATTGAGTCTTGAATCTGCTTTCGCATCTCAATTTCAGAGTGCCATAATTTAGCCCAACATAGCATTGAAGTAAACTGTATGTCAAAGTTACTAGTTTTCGTAATCTTCTCCTCATTTTTCAGAACCAGCTCTAAAACTACATCTGATAAATTGTACAGTTTGAACGCTTGAGACAAATTTTTCTGTTCTCGAAGATTATTCTTGAGAATCTCTTTGCACGAAAGAAGGGACACCAGCTTCATCCAATACGCTGCATCAAATGTTTCTTGATTTTCCCGAATATCGCTTGGGATCATGTCATCAATTTCCATTGGCTCTTCGATACATTTCTTATCCGAGAACAATGCTTTCAAATTTGTAACTTCACTGCGGGTGGCAGAAACTTGCAAGATTTTGCTAACTTTTCCCCACGAAGTTTTCGATGTTTCACATTTTTCTTCATTGTCATCGAAATTTTTCATGAGTTTTGACAGCTTAGAAACCACGTAGCTTCCATGATTCGAGACTCCTTGAGACGTCTTGTTGAGGAGAAAAACTGCCCATTTAAGAAGTTTCTGACTGAGAAGAAACTCTTTTTGGATCATTTCCCAGTTAATAGCATTATTGGCTTCAACAGATATGTCATCTCTCTTTGTTAATTTTGAGACGAATACCTCCAAAGATTGACCATCGGAACTTGATGCTTCACAAACTCTCTTGATTAAAATTGAAATAATTTTAAATGTGTCAGACACGGATTTGATGATCGAAGAAAAAAAATAGTTGGAAGATTTGTCCAGGATGGGTAAAAATATCCAACACAAATCAGGGGTTCTATTAATCAACAGTGCTTCAATGTCTTGAGATAGCGATTCAACATCTGGCCATTCCAGGTATTTCCACGACTTCATTTTTTCTGCTTGGTTTTCGAAAGTCGGAAAGTGCTCAATTAGCAAATTTAGACTATTCATAACATCATCTGAGCTACTTTTTAAGACTTTCTTCAAGCAACGAGCATCCTGGATCCAAGAATGCAACTTTGAGCAGTAAATATCGAAACCTAGAAGATATTCTGGTTTTGTCTTATCCAAAACTGTTTCATTATGATTTTCTTGTGAGTGAATGTTAATTAAAACGCATCTATTATACATTGCAGATGACACAGCGTCAGTGTTTTCCATTTCGATCCGTTTCGATGACGTCAGAAAAATCCTGAACTCCTCATGCGGAGAAAAACTTTGGATTTCTCCGCTTTCATTACTCGAGAGTTCACCCAATGTCAACTTTCCCCCTGGTTCTAACAGACTGTTCAGACGATCCAAAACAGCACATGAGCAAAGGTCAACGTTCTGTAGAATCAACCAATGTCCGTTTTGGACGCTGTCTAATAGAACACTGTTCTCCCAAACGAAATTGTTCAATTTTCTTTCTATTGAACACGCTTTTACTACTCGCTGAATACTTTCAATTTCTGATTCGAAAATTAGCTCTGAGAACTTTTGAATATTTTCCAGAATCTGAGTGAACTTCTCAAAAAGTTCAATATTTGAACACGTTTCTAAACAAATCAGTCCCATAAGCAGTTTATCTGCTACTTTTCTCGGAGTTTGTTGACTTCTGAAATGCTTTTTCATCACATTTCCAATTCGTTTACAACATTCCGATATCAAAGCATTTGGATCAAAGTTCGAATATTTTCCAAAAAGATCAAGGACATCTGTGCTTGAATTTAAGTTGATCACGTGCACATCATGACCTGTTATTACTGCTAACTGTTTAATTAATTCAACTTGTCCATTGCTGTCTTGTCCGGTTATTAATGCTGGGAATGCATTTTCCACACAACCCATTATCGATTCCAAACAAAACAAGTTTTCCATCTTTGATAAAGAGCTGAAGCTTTTCAAAGTTGAGGTCGAGTTTTTAGTGAGTTGAAACTTGCCTATTCTGAAGTTTTTAGAAGAATTCCTCGCTTTGGGGATAACATCAACTTCGTTTATTTTCATTTTCGCAATTTCGTTTTGAGTACTTTGAAGCTTCGATCCTACAATGAAATTAAGAAAAGCTTCGTCTTTGCAGTAAGAAAGTAATTCACTGTTCAGTTTCCGTTTGTTCATTTCGGTTATTTTTGAGAATTTTAGAACATCTCGCAAATTGACATCTTTGCTTTTCGAAACCAGTTCAAGCATCGTTGATTTCAAATCATCAGATGCATTCTTCAGGATTGACTCGAATATATATCGATAGTCTTTTTCGGTCAGGGGATCCATGAAAATTTTCGAGAATCTGTTCACAAAAGATCTTGGTAAATTTTTCCGTCCATTTGTACTTTCAGAAGGATTCTGGGTAGCAAAAAACCTTGTCGTAGATGACTCCAGTTTGAAGATTCGATCTAACTCTGATATGTAAACTTCGCCTCTGTGATCGAAAAGCGCATTAAGTCCTTCTAAAACTGACTGTGATGCTAAATTGATTTCGTCTAGGAGCACCCATTTTCCCGATTTAATTGCCGAAAGCAATGGTCCATCGTGCCATGAGAAAACTGGATTCCGAGTTTCATTTTCATTTTGCGAATCATCAATACACAAATTCGGCAAATCATTTCCCAATAAATCAGAAATATCAGTTTGCTCGCTAAGATTAATTCGTACAAGGTCAATTCCTGTAAGCTTAGCTATGTTCTCAACAAGTGCAGTTTTTCCTATTCCCGGAACACCTTCGATCAAAATCGGTTTCTTGATACTCAGAGCGCGCATTGTTTTAACCAAATTTACGTTAGTTGTCGGAACTAGAAAATCAAAGCTTGATTTATTTGTTACATCCATTGCATTTTCAGATTTCTCTATTTCGAAACCGGCTATTTTTAGGAAGTTATCTTCAATTTTTGGAACCAACACTTTGTTGTCAGAGCTGAAACTTCGGTAATTTGTCTGTTCATTTAAATAACCGATACATTTTTTCTTCACAATTGCGTCTTTTGGTGCCAAACCATCCAGAAAAATCAACCAGGCACCTTCAACAAAAGATTGTTGAATTCCAATTTTTCCTGTCGACGACTTTATGAATTGCATCCAGGATTTCACGTCTCGCAGCGATATTTTCAGCTCTTCCAGGAACATCATTACGAAGTCACAGCATAAATTGCAGACATCTTCAGGCACAAAATCGGATGCAAGTTGATTTACTACTGCCAAAACATCTTCACGGGCTATGTCAGAAGGACACCAAATTTCAGTGAATCGGTTTCTTAGAGCAATTGACAGCTCTTTTTTCCCGTAATCTCCACTCGGATTCATTGTTGCAACTACTCTGAATTCATCGTGAACATCAATAACATCAATTTTATTGTCTTGCGTGTTTTCCGCTATCAACAGTGTTCGTTTTTCTTCAAACAAACTGTTAAGTCTTTCAAGCACGCTGTCATCGGCTAAGGAAATCTCGTCTAGTAGGAGGATTCCACCTGTTTTAGCAGCTTGGGTAACCGGGCCGTCCTGCCATTTGAACAAACTAGCAGCCATCGATTCCAAACTTTCATCCGTGTCAATGTCTGATGATTCGTGATTCCTCACTGGTCTCAAGCTACCGATAAAATCACTCGCATCACTATTCATATTGCAATTAACAGTGAATAAATTTTGGTCGATCGATTGTGCTAACAGTTGACAAATTGTAGTTTTTCCACATCCCGTGTCACCGACAAGCAACACCGGTTCTTTGTTTTCCAGCGCGTTACTAACTAAAATTGCCATCCTGACCATTTTGGCTGTCCACGCTATTTCAAACGAATCGGAATGTTCGTCAATCATTTCAATCAAACTGCGCAAATATCTTGGAGTGCAGACTCCTTTTGATTTATGGCTGGGAAACTTGAAAATCTCCTCTGGTTTTAGATTAACTTTGAACGTCTTCTCAATTGAAGATCTGATACAATTATTGTCGATATCGTTTCGCGCTCTTCCTGCTAGCAACATGAAACCTTGCTGGGCTAAAAACAAGTTCCAGTCAAACAAAACTTGTTCACATGACAAACTAGCATTGCTATATCTATTAGCCCATCTGAACAAATCTCGCAACGTGATGAAACTAGATTTTCCTGCGAACATATTCGACAAACTTCTTTGCGAACGTAGCGATTTCATCAAATTAATTATTTTAGTCGAATAAGAAGATGGAAGATCGCACCTTTTACTAATGATAGTTTTCAGCTCATCTTCGGGAATTTGATCAAAATTCAATTCTATGAATCTATTTCTAAATGCTCGAGATAGAATTTTTCTGCCGGAGTAACTTCCAGCTGGATTTTGGGTTCCAAACAACATAAACTCCGGGTGCGCTTTTATCAGTTTATTCGTCTCCGGAACATACAACTCTCGGTTATCATCTAGAAGTCGGTTTAATGCTTCTAGCACTTCAGTCGGGGCCAAATTCAACTCGTCCAAAATAACCCAGTTTCCATTTTTCATTGCCTTGACAAGAACTCCGTCTTCAAAAATTAGTTCACCTGTCTTCGAAGAGCAATACGCGCCAAGATATTCCTGTATATCAGTGTGTTCGTGATTGTTTATTCTCCAGACTTTTTGGCCCAGAAGATCAGCTAAGTAATGAATCAAACTGGTTTTTCCAACTGAAGTTTCACCCTGCAGTAAAACTGGATCACGTCCTGACATTACTATACAAGCCAGTTGGCCCAAATGATTTTTGACAGTTGATGTCAAGACGTATTTTTCGTTTACAAGAGATTCCAGAGAATTGATTGGTTCGACCCAAAAGCCTTCTATAGCAATCGCAGTGGGCGAAGTTCGCAGCCAATTTTCTTTATCTGCATGCGGAAAATATTTATCGATTCTCTCTTTCACTTTCACTCGAGACGATTCGTTTAGTTGGTTTATGAATCCGTATTTAAACGCTTCAGCGCATGCTTTTGTCACCGAGCAATTTTTTGCTTGACTGATAAAGCGAAGCGCTCGTGAAAATTGCCTCAGACTGAAATTAGCACACTTTTCTTCTGAATCGTACAACACTTTGTTCTTAGATAAATTTATAAGATCAATGTAGAGCTTAACGAGATTGTCAATTTGAGTTTCCTCGATCTTAACTGAACTTTTCAGATACTCGCTTGCAAGTAAAGCAAGATCAATTTCATCACAAGTTAGAGGAAAGTAGAACTCCATGAAATGATTTCTCACACAAGACGGTAAAGCTGTTTTGCCCACGTCAGTTGCTGGGTTCATACAGGCAAAGAGTTTAAAATCCTTGTGGGCATACACTGATTCTTTACCGGCCATTTCGTCAACTGTCAATCTTCGGTTTTCCAGCACTTCCAGAAGACAATCCAGCGTTTCCGGACTAGCTAAATTTATTTCGTCCAAAAGCAACCAGTGACCATTTTTCATGGCTTGCAGCAAACATCCCTCGACAAATGAAAACAGTAGAGATTCCTTTGATTTCTCTTGCCTTTGCATATACGATGTTAAGCTTTCTAGTTCTGCTGAAAACTCTTTCCAAGCTTTCAACATTTTACTCTTAATTGGCACCATTTTCGAGACATGTAAAATCAACTTCAGGCACATTCTGTAGTTCTCCTTCACAAAAGCATTTGTCACGTGGCCGAGAAACTTTTCGTTCACATCTTTTTTAAACGTTTTTGCAAACAAATTGTCAAACTTCGCTTTGATTGGTGCGAAGTGTCGACTCAAACTAACAGGCTTCAACCCTCCAATCAGATCAGCCGAATTGCTCTGATGACTCATATTGAGTACTGTCATTTCAGCTCCAACCTGATTGGCTAAAAACTGAACTAATGTCGTCTTACCCGTACCTGTTTCACCGCACAATAATACTGGTAGATCACTTTGAACCGCTAATAGTACGTTTTCTCCAATCAAAAGAGCCGGTTTTGTCAGAGCGTAGTTCGTTTTAGTTCTTTGCGAATCAGCTTTTAGGGTGACATCTTGACTTCTACCGATTTTGAATGTGTGTTTCTCAATTTTCAGTGCTGGTTTGTATTGGTTGATCAAGAAATCTGCGTTTTCCTTCGGAAAATTAAATACCGCGACTATTTCCTCGGCTGCAGAAAGTCGGTCTTGGGAGGTAGGAATCATGGCTGTAAAATAATCAACAGCCGAATGACAAATCACTTCCGCATCTAGTTTCGGCAAGTTGTTAACATCGTCGCAAAATTTCATGAAAGCGTGCAACGAGAAAACTGTTTTTTGATTGGCAGTCAACAAGTTTTTCAGCACTAACAACTTGGTTGACAAGTCCACAAGATTCGAAAACCTTTGTTCAACTATTCCTTTCAGATCGTTATCTTCGATTGCCGGTAGAACACAACACTTGAACCCTTTGGATCCAGAGCACATTTGCTTCAAAAAAGGATGAAGTTTCCCCGAATAATCTGGTTCACATGTTGCGATTATTTGGAACTCGGCTACCGATTCTTTTTCTTTTCCAGTTTTTGAGCTCATTTTCTCTTCATTGGCCAAGAAGTGTTCAATCACTGTGATGACGTCCGGACTAGCTTTGTGTATGTCTTCTAGAATGAGCCACTTGCCTGCCGAGTAGCACTGCTGTAGCAATCCAGGACGCCAAACTAGTTCCCCCAGTTCAACTCCACAAGTGAAGAATCCAGTAAGCACACGGTCTTCGAACTGGGATGTAATTTGCAAGCGTACAATATTGTCGTTTGAGATACCTTAAACGAAACTAAATATATCTTTAAAATTGGGCACAAAATTTAGCACAAATTTGTGCGAATTAGCTTGGAAAAACGTGAATTTGCATTATATTAATATCTTTTTCAACCTTAAGCTCAAGTAATTCAAACATCTGCCGTTTCGATGGTATTCATCTAATGAAATAGAAAAGAGACTGTAAGGAAACACTTGATATAATTTAACAAAAAAAAATAGAGCGCATACAATAGACGGGACCTGTATTTACACAGAGGCGAAGCGATCGAATCGGGAAATTAAAAAAAATTAAACACAGGCGAAGCTGAGCTTCGAAGGTTATTATCTTCAAACGTTAAGACTTCAAACTTTATTATCGTTGAAGAAACAACTAGAAAAACGAAAAATATGCAAATCAAGTTTTTTCATGTTCAAATATATTGAAGTTCCAAGTGGCGTTTAATTTGAGCATTCAAAAATTTACCAAGTGGCGTTTAATTTGAGCATTCAAAAATTTAAGGAGATGTTAAGAAATTTGAACTTAGTATAAACTAAACCTAATGTTACCATTCCTAACTTTAAACATTCTGTGAGTTATTTACGGAGAAAAGTCTAGAGCCCAGTTGAAATACACTTGCTATCGCAAGTGTAATTACCATCCACATATTGTTCGAAAAAGTTTACAAAAAATACATACCTATCGTATGAGCGAAGAATTCCACCATTTTCGACTTTCCACTACAAGATGATCCACAGAGCATCAGCGGCACATGACGGCTGAGCGTGCTCGCAACTTCATTCAAAATGTCTCGTTTAGAATCACATACGACATATTCCGATTGGTTCAAGTCATTACTTCGCACTGGTTTAAAAAATTCTGATTCAAAAACTACTTGTACATCATCATGTATATGTAAATTTTCGGCGGTTAGAGATGATAGGTCAAACGGAATAATATCTTTTTCTTCGTATTGTTTCATTTTAAGAGAATTATCAAAAATTTCAAGCTGATTTATCCAGGCAACTTCATATTCTACGCATAATTCTTCGCCAAAAACTCGCATCACCCAAGAATTTTTCTCACTTTCAGAGCAACCCATGCACAAAACTTTTGCCATTTCGATGCAAAAATGACTGAACGATAGCTGTTCAACCCTTGAACTGCAATTCAAAAGCAGATGCAACGAAAAAATTGAAGAGTAAGCGTGATAATTATCGATGATAAGGTTTAACATAGACGTTGATCCATGTTCAGAGCAACATACTTTGCAGAATGTTTCCAGTCCAAAATCTTTCAAGTTCTGAAGAAGTTCCACCAGAAATACTTGGTACTGTTTACATGTAGGACCACACACTCGAGTTACTATGGTGCATAAGAACAAAAGATTTGGGGCAAACTCAAGTCCATTAGGCGATTGCATTACGTAATCTTTGCAATGACATAATAAAGACAGGAGGCACTTTCTGTTTTTGTTGACTGCGGCGACAATCAACTCAAGGTTGTCGACAGATTTCAAAAGATCCAAAACAATCGTTGCCATAATTCTGAAATCAAAAATGATTGAAAATATGTTCAGTGCGTGTAATCTCGAGGGCCATTAAAATTTCAGTTGTTTCTTTCAAACACACTATTTCTAGTTTCCTCACATATCTTTGCATTTATGAGAGGGACATCCCCCCAGGAATTCAGCACCTTTACCACCCCATTTGGTACTTCGTTTTGACATCAATTTTGGTTCGATCAACCCTAAAGTCTACCTAACGCTGTGGGGTTCACTGTACCCAATTAGAGCGGCATTCAAGCGTAAAAAACCGTGATTTTTCAAATCTGGACTTTCCACACAGAGGTGAAGCAAAGCTTCGCACCACCTGCGATACATCAGAAACAGCTGGCGTACAGAATGAGCCAAAGTTAAAGTCGAAAAAAATGAAACAAAAATTATTTCACAAAAACATGTCGATTAGAACTTGAATTAGCATAAGATCAAAACTTACACTGCGGTAACGAAGCAGGCAATGCTTGAGCAAACGAAGGTTGCGCCGGAAAACATTAATGTCCCCAAGTTTGAGCATAAAAAATTTGAAACTCGAAGTTCAAAAATATCTATAAACATAAAAATTGATACTTTTGCCCAAAAAAGCCGCAATATGAGGCTAATAAGCAGATTTTTTAAAAAAATCTCAATATTCTAAGCTGAATATAAAACTTAAAAAGGAAAATTTTTTTTTAGAAGAAAGCACGTTTGTTATACGAAAATTCAAACAGAGGCCTCCAGTTGATGAGTCCTGTGAACAAAGTCATTAATGAGAAAATGTCTAGTACCCGATCGCAATACACTTGCCCTCGCAAGTCTAATAAAGTAATCGAAAAGCGGCTTTTTGGCTATTGTTCTGAAAAATTATCATTCAGCCAAAATTGATTTCGTTAACGAACCTGATCAGTTTGATAAAACATTTTTTTCTAAAAGAACCTTTTCTAAAGTCTTTAATTAATACATCGATTTGCAAATAAAAGTGATCTCTACAATTTATACACATAATTTACAATATTAACATACAAAATACATCACGCGTGATATTGCAGACGGCAGAGGAGTGTTTCGTGAGCGAACTTCTTGGGAAAGAGGGATAGTGGGTGATAATGCCAAAAGATAAATTAAATATTGGACAAAACAACTAACTAGCACGGGAGAAAAAATCAGATCATTTAATTTCGAAGCGAAGCAACAAATCATGTGATAGCTAAATAGAAGCCTTAAAAATTCAATGGTTATAATATCATCAAACTTGAAAAAGGTTATTTCCAGCAAGCGTTAAGAATCCGAATAATCTGAGATTTTCACTCGTACTAATCAATTTTAACTAATAATTCAGTTTGATCGCGAGTATAACAGCACTTGTCTAACTTGTATCTAATGATGTTGTTTGGTAGAAATATTCTCATACGTAGAATATTCTCACACGTGACCTGCTGATTAACACATCCCCGTCAAAGAAACTCGTCTCTATCACAATGTTGCCCCTAAACACAAAATATTATGTTTTAGTTGTTTTGACGATCCCATCTTTGAAAGAAACATTACAACAGAAGGGAAGTGAGAGATCGCAAGATATAACACCAATCAATTGGCTAGAAATTTAATGTTCTGGAAAGCAGAGACTTATTTAGAAAAAAAAACAAAGATAGCCGGTTGCTGTGCAAGTAGCACTAAATGTTCCGACCACATAAAAAAACTACAAGAAAAGTTCTTGGATTTACTAAGTTTTTCAAATCAGTGTCGCTTCTTATGCGACGTGGCGTGATAGAAAAATATACACGCGTAGAAAACTACTTAATTAAGCATATTTGACAACAGTTGTCTTTAAAGCAAGAATAACAAACAAACAATGAAAAAAAAAATCGCATTCCTTTTTTGCACAATAAAATTTTAATTATTTAGAAAAAATCATTGCCAAGGAAACGCTAATGAAAGCGCCAAAAGTTTTTCATTTAGTAAAACAATTTTTTTGCCTAAAAGGCCCATTTTCATATTATGTAAATCGGTCGCTTTATAAGCTCAAAATTAGTCTAAGACTCGCAAAATTCAAACCGTTTTTCTCAACACTGGGCCGTTTTTAGAAAGTTTTATTTGCCTTTCAACTCACAACCACAAAGTTTCAATATGAAATATTACTCGACCCATGGTTGTTTGAGATACCTGGTTTTGCAAGGATGAATACAAAAATCTTCCCTAATTTCAACAGTCCAAAAAACAAGCTGTTTGCATCAAGGTGCTGTTGATCTACGAAAAACTATTTGTTTTTGGCTTCCATACTTTTCGGCATGATCAGGCAATCAATAACATTAGTATGATTCATAAAACCTCATTTGACAAATCCAAACCAGAAAATCATTGTTAAAAACGCGGAATAACTGGATTTCTCTTCAAATCTCTTTGCATCTAAAACGATTAGTTCATGTATAGTTTAAAATGATTGAAAATATTTTCCTGTAGAGAGGAAAAGAAGAACAACATGAATATTTCGTTTGAGCTCAGCAATCTGCCCCGTGTATAAACAAAATTGAAGAAAAAAAAGCTAAAATTGCAAGTCAAAACCCAAGCCGTGACAATTAGCATGACAAAACAAAGCGTACAATAGGTATAACTTTAGTGCCGAAAATTTCAACTAACAATAAGAAAAGGATCTGGTCGGGGCCTAATGCTGGATCTTTAATGTTCCATGCATAAACGTTACCTCTGCACCAGATGCACAGAATGTTCTCATAGAATTAAACTTAAAATTAAACAATCAAAGAATTCAGTGATTCTGTTAAACAAATTGGTATCCTGAAAAAGTATACATTCCGATTTCCATGTTTTTTTTTCATATTAGTGTTGTTTTTTGAACATCGTGTGATAGAAGGATCAGACGAAAAACTAGAAACAGGGAATATTCGACAGTCACAGTAAAATAGGACAACTGTTTTAGTTTAAAAAAACGATAAGAAAGAACGAATAATCAAAAAATCTCTAACACGATCGCGCCGAGAAAAATTTCAAATTTCTGACAGAAAACACTTTAATGTGGAATATAATTTTTTTGCAACTTTACAGGAACAAAAAGAAAGTTTCATGACCTATTCTTCTATAATAGGCCTGTTCGTTTGCTTTTTTGCTCGAAATTCGACTAAAATAATAAACCGGTTTTTCTCGACACTGGGACTTTTTAAGTCGCTCGATTCTGGGCTGAAAAATTTTATAAGATATATCACTCCACTCATTACGATGATTGATTGTGGTTAATGCTTTTGGTTGAAAAACAAAATAAGCCTGCTCGCTCGCTTTCCTCTATCAAAAATAGATGAAAAATCAAAAACATCACACCAATTCTAGTGAAAGCTGTAAATTTTTTTAATGTAGTTCGAATCATGACTGAAAGTGTTTCAATCATTATATATCACTCAACCCAGTCTGATAATTGTTTGTGGTAGATGAATTTGCGTGGAAAACAAAAAGAAAAAACTTAAACAAACCCGAATACAAAGATCCGCCTCTTTTTAAATGGTCGGAACAATAAACCTACAAAGTTTTTTCCTCAAAATCTCTCACTTCTTAAATCTTAATTACAGCCTATCTCGGACACCATTCAGATGAGGTTGAAAGAAAACAACCTCCGGAGAATGAAAGTAAGGAAATAACCCTAAAAACCGGCAAAAAAATACCAACCGAAAATCGAAACCGCATTCTGCCGCAGCCAAATAAAAAATTAAACGACTGCTACCTAACACCTGAACTCATGCTTCAATTGCAAATGCCGGCAAGCATTGAATGCGCTTTAATTAAGCGGATACTGATATAGCGTTGTTTTTATTTTCATTCTTTAGTCTACGCTTTCACCGACCGAAGTCTGCGGGAGAACTACGACCTGAATTCCTAAGAAAATTTGCATGTAGTTTGCGATATTAGAAAACAAGTCGAAAAACTGTGACAAGCCGGAAAAGTTACGACAAAGCTATGAGCAATAAAATGCGGAATTTCTTTTGGGAGACTGGTATTTTAACACAAGATTCAAGAAAATGTGACCCAAACAAAAACGAAACCTCAACAAGACGCTTTTATACGCTGCGTTTTTTTCTATAGTTAATAGGGGGGAAACTTGAGCTTTGCTGCTTATGGCATCAGTAATTTAATTTCATTTTCGTTTTCAATTTTGGTTTTGGAAAAAATTGTCATATTTACAAACCTGTCTTCAACATGAGATTGCGTAATGGAATGATATTTTTTCAGTTTGCCCGAAAATGATCTGGTCTGCCCGTTTTCGATTTGCTGATGCTTACTGATACATCAATTTACTGACGTACCACCGCGTACACAGATAAATAAAATTTCAGCAACCGCTTCAAGAAACCTCGTCAGCCAAGCAAAACTTATCGCGAAAAATTATGACACAAAACCAATCACAAACGCATCATACGAAGCAAAGAAACAAATTTTCTTTCAAAAAATATAAGAAAAAGGTAAATCTCAGAGAAGATAGAAAAACTTCCAGATCCTTTAAAAACAATGCTAGACAGCTTTTTAGCAAAAAAGAAAACGTGATGCTTTTTAAAAAGCTTTGAACAGAATCAATAGAAAAAAAAACAATTCTAAATGATGTTAATAATCAAGCCAGCGTTCAAAATTTCGAAGAAAGTGAGGAATATATATACTTGAGGATTTTTTTTATTCTAACCAATTTCAAAAAGAATTTTCTGCATGGGGGATCCATCCTTTGATCATCATGTTCGCAGAAGGGCGCGCATACAACTAAGCTAACCTGACTCTACGATCGGTCTGAATCGAGTCAAAATAAACTACTCAATTAATTCTAATTCCATCATTACAAAACCGTTACGAATTGAATAGAGGTAAGCTAATATGTATTAATTCGATATGCAGTCAAAATTTCATCCAAAAACTATTCCAGACAAATTAAAGCGCAGTCACAACATTCAGGGCTTTGCCCTGATATAGGAGCAGTCTTGTTCAATATCGTCGAGAAAACTGAGTTTGCGTTCAAAAAATTGCAACAAAAAAGAAGATAGAACATTAAATGAAAGTCATCCTGACAACCCGGATTTTTAAATACCCATAGCCACTCCCAGCTATTTAATACATTAATAAACTTAAACCACTATAACTTCACGATTCTCGATTTAAGGCGACCAGAGGTCCGACAGCGATAACCAACTTTAATTTTGTAGAGAGCCATACCCACTGTTGGCAAAAATGGAAGTTATAAATTTTGGTTATAAATTAACATTTCGTTGTTAAATTTAAAAATAGGAGTTAAAATGTCTAGGATTTAAATAAAATGTTAAAATTTGAAGAAAATGACTATAATTCAATTCGTACGGTGTTAAATTGAATGGTGCAAAAATGTAGGAGGCGAAGTTGTATTCGCAAACACAAGCATGTTGTGATCAGATGGTAGCACATAAAGAGCATATTTGTATCAAAACCAAAACTTAAGAATTCTAACTAGACACAAAGAAAACAAGCAAAACATGGATGTCTTTTTGAATAGCTCAACTTTCGAGTTTAACAGAACAAATTATATCACCAGAAAAACGAGTTTAAATCAAGCATTTATCATGTAAGCCTTATTCTGTTGAAATTAATATATTCCAAGTTATCATGATCGATAGATTTCCCTTACGTTGGGAACCCTAAAATTTAAAACAGCTTTCGGGCTAAAATCAAGAGAACATTTCGAGAATCATTTTGGCGTTTATTTTGCAGAACATCAAGTTAGCACTGATTAAAAATGAACCTGAAAAGCCCGCTTTAGCATTTGGTAGCCGAGCTGTGTTCAATTACAATTGAAATCTATCGCGGTTTAATTATGAGACAAGATTTGAAACATTTGTAGCTTTGAGTAACTTCAATGCAAAATGCCAACATTCTGGATCAGATTTGATTGCAAAAGCACATAAAAGGGAGCTTAACAGAACGTGCGGCACAACACAAATAAAGTACTGTAAGCTATCGGTCACAACACGAGATGTAAGCCATTATGTGGAAGACAAAGTTTAAAACCTAGATCTACAAAAGTCTCGCATATATTGAATTTGAAGAAAATATTTCTAGAAACACATTCAACGGCAAAATGTCAAGAAAATAAGCATTCAAAATCATTCAACCGGCAGCGAATTGTCCAAAAATACTATGTAAACGCCACTTGAGCCGACAACAATGTCGTCAAAGAAAAAATGTGAGCAATAATGTTTTGAAATTAGAATTTTAACCCCATTACTTCTGACATAAAAAAATATGACAAAATATTTTGTCCTTCAAACGATCGAAAATGAGGTAACTAAGCCGATACATTCTCAACTGAAACAATTTACAAAATTCAGAGCAGGTTTTAAAAAAATCAGTTGGTAAATTTACAAAAAAGAGATCGAGTTTCAAATATAACTAGCGCTTGACTCGCACATACGGTTCTTTAACCCTTATTTTGAAAGAAAAGAGGTTTTGCTTAAGTATAAACAACATAACA